TGCAATAAGAATAAGTCATATTTCATCCTATGTAAATGTTATCGTTTCTACTTGCAATACTGACACGTCAGTGACATTTTTACCATATGAATCATTGGAGATTAACATCATTAATTACCTTAATTGTTTTAGTTAAAGAAACAAAATACTAGACAATTTTATTTTTCAGAACTCACCATATATATAGGGGCTTTAACTCTTTAAACCCAAGCAGATATTGCCAGCATCTCTGGCTGAAAACTAATCTAAACCATTTTATTATGCATAAAATTATGAAAATTCAAGTTTTATAAGGTATGGTGATAATTATTAGGAATTCTTGAAAATAATTCTGGCAGAACGAGTAAAAAATTATCAGCTTAAAAAGTTAACAGATATTTATACAGTATGCTGAAAATGTAAGTTTCCGAAGCAATATCCTTACCTCTCTGCACACAATAGCTATTCCTCTTGTGTCTGTCTTTGAGATTTGGTGTGCCACTAGCCTTTAGCTTTCTCCCACCTAAGACACATTTTAACCTGAACTGCACTTGTGCGAGATGTAATTATTATGTGACAATAGCCTTTCACCAACAGGAGGGTCACATTTCCTTCATGCACAGTAGATCCCCATAAGCACTTGCACTTAAAATTAACATCATTTTTAACAACAATGAATTCTCAATTGACGGTGATTAATACCTTCTCGTGAGGTTTCTGGTGATGTTGATAACACTGCTCTTACTTTGTTTATGGCCAATTGAGGCTTGTTGGCTATGGAGGATATTATTGCCATTGTTCAGTGTGTTTTGAGTTCATTAATACCTTACTTGCCTCATCTCTCAGTCCCTATGTTAGAAGAGCATTCTCTTTTGAAAAATAGATCACAAGGCAGTGATTTTGATCGGCTCTTTTCACCTCCTGACTTTGCACTGGGCTCCTTTTTACCTGTAGAGGACAGTGCTCCTCCTTCAAATCTCTTTGTAGATTTGATTATTCAGTTTTTGTTCATTACTTTATCTTTCATTTACATCTTTTATTCTTAACATTCTTTGAAACATGACTTTCATGCTAAGGATTATCCTGTTTTTCCCCCTTCTCCAGACATGTGTTTATGCTAACACATTTTTGATTCAGCTTTGTTCACACTCTCAAATGCTTTCTCCTTCTCAGTTCCAGAATTTCTTTACTATGGCTCATGGCCATTTCCCTTTTCCATACTTGGATTCCCAATCCCTTGGAAGTCCCTTTTACCTGTTTGGGGAGCTAACCCCTTATTTCCAGTAATTCTAATGCTCAATCTTTTCATCTTGGCAGGGATAGAAATAATGAAATAAAATTACATCTACTTGAGGGAAAGCTATTGGGAAGGTTACATTCCTTCATGTAAAGTTGCATTTCGTCATGAATTGTTTTTTTTATTTAATCCATGCAATATGTTCACTTTCATTGGTCATAACTAAAGGAATACGGATGGACCATGCATTCCCGTATGGGAAAGACAACTTAAAATATGAAACTCCTCCAGCAAAGTTAAATTCCTTGGGAATGTAATATTTTGATCCCTGCTTTGTCCTTTTCTTACCCATCTCCTTTACTACCTATCCTCTCTTCATCTCCTTTCTGTACTACACTGTGATCCTGATCGATTTTGTGAAGGTCTACAGTTGCTACTTTTCAATACCTTGGCCAAGGTTTCATCTTCTGCTCTGTTCCTTCATACTTGGTTCCTCTGTTGTTGGGACTTTCTAAGATGTGACTCACTTCTTTCTATTGTTCATCTTCCCCATTTTTTTCCTGAAGTTTTTGAGGGTGTTTTAACATCCTGGGGACTTGGACTAATGATGCCCAACAACATTTTTCTCTTCCCTCCTTGGTTTCTTGTCTTTCTCAGTCTTGAATCTATACCCATTTCTTGACCCCATGAATGCTCCAACTTTCTCCTTTTTGCTGTTTCTTGTCCTACTTCTCATTGACCTCCTCCCTTTGAGTTGGCTGTCTCACGTCATGTTGGTGACTAGCTCCCTTTGTATCCAGTTGGCTCAGGCTCTATGGAGGCACATATTTTTCTGTTTGCAGACCTCTGGATTCAGTTCAGCATCTCTTCAGCTTCTTGGATATTCAGTTGAATTATAGGAGCATTTGCTTGTCACATCTACAGTCTTTGACTTTGTTTCCATTATTACATGAAGGTCTTTTTCTCAGCCACCTTATATTTCCTCCAAGAAACTACTTGCCCGGGTTGGCTGGTCAAACCTCCTAAGTTGTTCCTCACTCCGACCCAATATCTGGTCCTCTTTGGAGTATTCAATTCTCAACTCAATCAGAATCAGCCTTCTCCCATTCATCTGCAAGACATGGAGCATGTAGTCATCTCCCCTTTGCCTCTCCTATGCTCCTTGCATGAAAATTACTATCTTTTTGGAGGACTCTTGTGTCTCAAACATCTATTGTCTTTAGGCCAATGGACTTTGAATGAACAGTGGAATGTCTCCTGTGATGCTGCAGTCTTCTTTTTTTTGAAGGTCTGTGTTGGTGTCTGGATTATGCCAACACTATGGTCAGCATTCCACTGTTGCCCCACATCCAGATCTCCATCTCTTCACAGGTGCATTTCTTATGGGTTGGAGAGTGTTTTTCGAAAACTCCACAGCCTTAACGGCTTGTCTCATGAGAAACATTTTCTGCATCAATATTCTGGAACTCTTGGCTACCCATTGAGCATGCTCCAATTTCTTCCCTCAACTTGTGGATCACTTGGTTATGATCCACTTCAACAATTCTACAGTCATTTCCCAAATCAATCATCAAGGTAGGACTTATTCTAGGGATATTTGCTTCTGCATGTTGGACTTTCTATTATGAGCCCATTTACATCAGGTTTGTCTAACTGCCTGTCATGTCTTAAGAGGCTTTGAATTTGGTAGTGGATTGTCTCTTGTTTGGACAGGATTCTTCCTATGGAGCTTGCGAATGATCAAGGACTTTGTCACACCTCTCAATTCCAAGCTTCTTCTCTTCTGGTTGTTGGTATCTCACCCCACAGTTCTGGTAGTGCATGCCCTCACCCAGGACTGGTCTAATCTCTTTCCATGTGTATACCTTCCTTTTTGCCTTTTCCCATATGTCTTTTCGGGTTTTGATGACATTCTATCTCAGGTTCTGTTGTTAGTCCCCTTTTGGCTGGCTCAGTCTTGGTTTCTTTTTCACTGACTGGTGTCCAAGGCACCCCTTCCTTTGCCTCAACCCCAGTCACTCTTGCTACAACTTCTTATGTCTCTTTCACCTGGGAGTGTTGTCCCTTTGTCTTTGCATGTGGGTATTGTTGGTCCTTTTCATGTTGGACAGGTTTCTTTTCTTCCCCTGTTCTATTCCTTCATTCATCATCCCCCTCACCAATTTCCTTTGTCTGACTTTTCATGCTCCTACCCAGGCCCCACTTTATTCATTAGCCACTTGCTCATTATACCATCTCTTTTTCAAGACCTTTCCTCCTCCTTGCTTGTCATTGTTGCAGACCTGATCTTCGTGCATTAGATGCATCTTACATTTTGTTTCACGGATTTCCCTTGATCTTCTTTTCTTACTGCTTGTTTCCTCCTAAGACTTGGGTGGCTTAGAAGGATGATCGTTCCTTTTCTCTTTTGTTTATCTTATTCCTCTATGATCATATGGATCCTGATCTAATTTTTTGTCCAATTTGAGTTATTTGGCATGTACAGCTCCATTTTGTAGTTATTGCAATCATTTATTCTTGCTAGGGTATCCCTCTTTTTTCCAGGAATCTCTCGTCCTCCACGCTTACCAGATGTATTTGTCAACTATCTGCCCACTTCCCTGTGTTTCACATGTTTCATGGTAACTCATTCCATTTCATGGAAGTTAGATTGGATTGGGTCTGGGCACCTCTCCAGTATCTCTTGAATGCAAATTCTTCCCTCCCCAGTTGTTGAGTGGAACGTGGGAGGTCCTTGCTACTTCCCAATTCCTAGATACTGGAATGGTTGACTTGGAGAGTTCTTCACCAGTTGTGTGGTCCCTCCAAAGAGAGTTTGAGCGAGCAGAACAGTGCAATGGGAAGTAGGGAAGAGGTGTCTATATCATTGTAGTGCAGGTCACTATCTCTTATATGATATGCTACTATGCTTTCCTCCTATGACAGGAAGAAACCTTTGTCCCTGTTCTTGTAATGTACAGTTAGTAAATGATAAAACAGAACATACTAAGCTGTATGGTTTGATCATTGCCCTAGCCACACCACACCTCATGTTCAACAGACTCGTTGTGCGTAAATGCTTGGTTGGTCATGCACTTTTCTGCCCATCCCTGTGACGTGTTGGCTTTGTTTTCCTCCTTTAATACTTCCATCCAGGTGAAGAGTGTACCCTGTGTAAAATGGATGCAGTCTCCCAAAAGTGTTATGCTCTTGTAAGTCCCCACTGAAGGGTGTCACAATCCATGAGCTTTCCCCCTTCAGTCACCTTCTATGAAGGGAGCTTTTCTAGATATTTTATTATTGCATTGGCCCCTCCATCACATCAATGTGAGATTCTAGCTAATGTGAGCAGAGGTATGAATATTATTTTAAAAGTCAACATTTTCTTTACCTGAAAATGTATTTCCAAAATATACCTTTCTGCACACCTTCCCACTACTGGTGCACATTAATCTTGCCTCATGCAAGTGCTTATGGAGGTCTACTGGGCATGGAGGATGTTTTAGGTGAGAGATTGCTCAAGGCTAGTGATATGCGCAAATTTTCAAAAGCAGACACTTGAGGAATTGTTATTGTGTGCTGAGAAGTAAGTATCTATTGGAAATACATTTTCATCTAAGGAAAATGTTAACTTTCAAAATGATTTGCCACGTACACTATGCAGTTCCTTCCTGAAACAAATAACTTGTGGATCAAACTTGTTTCATAAAATTATTGAATTAAGGTTTATTAAACTCAAAGGTTAATTAATACTTTGTTGATATCAATTTTCTAGGTTGATGTGATAGAACTTTTTAACACATAGGGTACAATGCCACTGTCCTAGCATATGGACAAACTGGATCAGGGAAAACCTACACAATGGGCACAGATTATCATTATTCTAACCAGCTAACAGAGACAGATATTCAGGGAATTATTCCCCGTGCTCTCATCGACATCTTTAAGAAGATAAAAGATATGCCTGATGCAGAGTGTCTGGTAAAGATTTCTTTTATTGAAATCTATAACGAAGAGGTGTACGACTTGCTGAGCACAGTGAGACAGAGAAAATCAGTCCATATCCAGAAGCAAAATAGCTCTGTGGTGGTAAGTATTTATAGAATAAAAGATGAAAGTTGTTTAAAAATTATTGTGATGTGTGGCTTTAGGCATTTGGTTTTGTTGTTGTTGTTTTTTTCTGATAATTTAGCCATGTTTGGCTCAGTCAGTCACAATACCTAGAGTGTGCTAAAAAACGAAAAACAGAAACTCAAGTTAACTATACTTGTCAGCATTTAGAACCATAAATCTACAGTAAAATTGCATTTCTGACAGGGTAGCTGAGTTTTGCTCACATACATAGCTATTCTTGCTCAGTGCTGCTCTCTGTTTACAAAAATCGTTTTCCACAAACCACAAGCCTTTTATTCTATTCACATGATTTAATTGATTCATGCTAGCAAATTATCACCTGACTCATATGACTCCCTCTATGCTATTCTACCTAAGTATCACAGTACCTGTGTTCAGATGTTTTCTTTAGTGCTCTCTCAACTCAAATTTATTTCTAGTTTACAATCTATACTTTACATTTTAATATTTTGTAGTGGAATTATTTTACTTTTGAGTGGCACAGCGGTATGTCTGTGGACTTATAATGCTAGAATCCGGGTTTCGATACTTGTGGTGGGCAGAGTACAGATAGCCCATTGTGTAGCTTTGTGCTTAATTACAAACAATAACAATATTTCACTTTTGAAACCCAATTATGGAAATTAATTAATTTTCTGTGTTTGTCTTTCTTCACCAACACAGTTGTTTTTGGTTTATGTTATGAATTCCAAAATAATGTTACTATGTCAGAGGTTGTACCTTCAACCAGCATGTTTACTCAGGCTTCAGGTTGGGGTAACTCAACTTTGTAATTATTAGCAATTAATTCTCAATAGATTGATTGTTATTTGAACCAACCTTCTCCTGATGTTGCCCATCTTCCTCCTGAAGAAGTCGAACCTGTTTAGGATGAAGACAGTTTTGACAGCCTTTTTTCTCCACCTGAATTTGCCATGTCTTCCCTGGTTACTCCTATGGGTTCTGTTAGACCTGATATAGCTTTTTGGACAAGATTTCACAGGTTTGTTCTGTTGTATTCTTTTCCCTGATTTCCTATAATCCTTTACTTTCCTTGTTACATGATACTTCTTCCTCTCAGTATTTTGTATTTTCACCCTCTCCTGTTATTGGGATTCATGCTGTGCATTTTGTATCTCAGCTTTGTGATGGCACAAGCATGCTTTGCTCTCCATAGGTTGTGGACCAGTTTGCTTTGGCATACTATCAAACTGATTTTCCATTCCTGGATTTGCAACACTTGGAATCCATTTTACTTTTCTCGCCTTTGTCTATTCTACTGTATTTGTCCCCCATTCACCTTCTCTCCGAGGCAATCCACTGTGATCTTAAGGGTTACTCAGGGATACATTTACCCTAATTACCTCCTTGTTGACATGTTTGTCCACTTCGGCTCTTTCTTTATGTACGTGGTTCCTCTGTTGTTGGGTTCTTTTGGAAAGAAATGTGGCTTTGTCCTACATTCGTTTACCATCTTCTTATCTTTGGGACTCATGCCTTGCCCCTTTTCTCCATCAGCTGGTCTTTGGAGATCTTCTGACATAAACCAGTATCGGACAAAGAACTAAGTTTGCTAAAGGTCAGACTACATGATTTGGCACATACTTACTATGGCACACCAATCGACCTTACCGACTTCTATATGCATAGAGAAAATTTTCAGACCAATGACTTATTTGCTTTTTTTTTTCAGATTTTTGCTTACAGTTTTCTCTTAAAAATAATATTTTTTCTGTATCTTTATTCACATTACTTTGACTTAAATTTTGCATAACTTATTTTAAGATCCTGGTAGTAAATTTAGAACAGGGTAACAGTTGTGATTGATGGGCACTCTGTGAAAACACTAGTAATATATTTTCAGTGTAGGAAAATCATAATTTTCAGATCATTTTCTTAAGTTGTGCCTTATGGAACAGTGGTGTAAATCCTAAGTTATCTGAAGTTTTAAGAAAAGTTTTTTATTTATTGTCAGAACTAATCATGATATGAAGAAACAACAACAACAATATGTAAATCTATATCTCTGTGTGTGCGAACATGACTAAAAAAAATATAAGTTGGTAAAAATATCCTTAATAGTTTATCCAAAACCTAATTAACTTTTAATACATCTACAGTAAACATTATTAAGCTTACCTATCTTTAATTATTATTATTATATTTTGTCATATACCATGGATCCCTGCAGTATCACATAACTTTAAACAAGAGAGAAATACATTTTATGAATACTGAGTAATGATTTCTCTTTGCATTGTTATTCTCAAGAACAAACCCGATAGTCAAGACCTTTAATTTTTATATGCACTTGACATAATGAAAACTGAATTGTTATGGTCATAAAATAATAAAACGAGTTAATAACCCCTGAAGAAGTTTGCCTTCTCCCCTTTCTCTCAGAACCAGCACTTGAACTATACTTCTTAATCATGTTAATTATTGGTATATTTCAACATGATCTCTGCTATTTCACATTTATAATTATCTAGTGTATTATATTTGATAGGTTAAATATAGCATTCTTCTATAAATGAAAACCCAACATTTTGTTGTCTACCATCATATTGTTATGTCCTTTATTTGTTTTTGCAGTTAGATATAAGATAGTCTGAAATAAGTATGTTTGTAATTATACATTACTCTTTATAACTGGATTACAAGCTAAAGTGGCCAGGTTCAATTATTAGGAACCATTTAAATATCAGTTTTTTATGTGAGCATATGTAGGTTTTGAATGTGAAGAGGGAGGAAATGTTGGGATTAATATGACCACCCTGCATGTGTCTACATATGTGCTTACTATAGTGTTGAAAAAAAAAATCTAAATATTAAATAACATGGATATTACAGTGTTGATTTGCTTCTCAAAGGTTCTTGGATTGGAAGAATTAAAAGTTAACAGTGTTGAAGTTGCCCTTAGCTGCTTGAAAAAGGGTTGTGAAACTCGTACCAAAGGTGCAACAGCCTTGAATGCTAATTCTAGCAGGTCTCATGCAATTTTTACAGTTCATGTTGAACAGCTGTTGGTTGATGGGTGAGTTGTATTTTAAATGGCTTATAAAAGAAAACAAAAAAAAACTGAAAGTTAGATAATGGAGTGTTAAAAAGTGAGTAATGTTAATACAAAACACAATTTTGATATGTGTGGAAATAAGCATTTTAATGCTCATTATCTTATGAATTATTTCAGTTAAGAAAAGTTTTCTCTTCTAGTGAATTTGTATACACAGATGATTTTTTTATTTTGTTAATAATATTTTATACAAATGTTAAAGAAGAAGGGTTCTGATCTGAAAACCATAAGTTTTTACTATCTGTTTAGATTAAGCTTAAAATAATGATTTGGTTTCATTCAGAATAGATTGTTAGTAAACTTGATATAGTTACATAGCACAGTATTAATGTTTCAATTTAATAGTCTAATACAAAAAATATTTAATTGTATTTTGGAAATACAAGTTCTTATGGTACTTTAACCAAATATGCATTGGGTCAGTCCAATGAACTGACTATATTGGAGAAGAAATGTTGACTATAATTCTGAATTTGCTACATGTATCTCCAAAAATGTGGCAAGCTTTTATTAAAATGTACAAGTCTATTGCACACAAAAAACTCAGATGTGTTACAAAAGTATTTATACTCGGGTATGCCTGTTAATTGATGATGTCAGTCTTACTCTGGCAAGGTGAAATGCCATTTGATGTTTACTTGAAGAATAAAAATAATCTTGTCCAACCATACAGTTTGGATATTGCATTTGTATAACCTCTAGAACCTCTATATATTTTATCTTGTATTTACTTTCCTTTACAATGAACTGTTGCTAAATAAGCAGTGTAGGTTAAAATGATATCAAGTACGTAATGTTGAATAGTATTCTGTAAATGGTTGTGGTATGCACACTTTGACACTCGCCTATACATATATAGCTTTAATAGTTTCAATGATTTCTCCCACAGTCCATTATTTCAGCTTGCATATTTTGTATTTATTGAAATTTTCCCCTGGGCATTAAATTAAAATCGCATACTTTTCTTTCACCAAAGTTTTGGATAATTAATGATTGGCTGGAAATTTCAAAACATGATTGTGTTGGAAAGCATGGGATGTTTTCCAGTACTTATTGAAACTGTATTTTGTTTGTGTGTGTGTATATGTATCGATATCTATTGTGTATCTATATGTATATATAGACACACACTTTACTGACTGGCTCAGTATGACTGTCACTGACTGCTGAGGTGAAAAGGATTCTCCTAAAACATCTGTACAGGTCAAAGACAAGAGTAACAAAATACCACACTTTCAAATCAGACAAGTTCATAGTGTAGTATCCAACAATCCTTAGATTACCTACATTTTTCAATTTTTATTGCTCTTTTTACTATGGCTCATTAAATATTTCATCTCCATGTTCTTTCTCTCTATTGTATGCATTCCAGTTGGGGCCTTGCTTTCAATAAAAACCTCGCACATCATTACCTGTTTTTATTCTTCATATTCCACCCATGAGTAGGTCGTCTTCCACCATGGCAGACTCATAGTTTTGTCATAGTCTTTTCACCTCCTTTTTTCTTTGATAGTTTGGGCCTGTGCCTGATAGATCAATAGGTCTATTCTCAGACTTGGATCTAATAATGTTAACATTAAATCTAGATCTACATTTGGATTGATCTGTTTGGACCATTTCTTCCTGGCTGGAGTTTGGTGGAGATTTAAGAATCTAACTGGTCAACCTTTCAGTCATGTGACTAAAGTTTTAGATCTAGTATTTATCAGCTATGCTTCATCATGTTTCATGCATTCAGCATTGTTACATTGTCAACTAAAGGTATAAGTATGTCAAAGAAGTGGTTCCCTTACCCTTAATAAATGGCTATATAATAGGCTCTAAGCATTTATTATAAAAAGTAGAACAGGCACTAGGCCATAGGCTACAGACTTACAATGTAACAAATAATATTCCTCTAAACATTTCCCATAGACTTAGCTATTTAAGCAAGGCTGACAATCATGCACTTTTCAATCACTTATGTTTAAGTTCTCTGCTGTATGAAACACTATTTTATAAAAACTACTCCTCCAACAAACTTTTCACTCCTTTTGATGAAATGGTTGACTACCAATTTCAAACATTGAACATGATTATATATCCTAGTGAGTACAAATCCCATACCATGATTAGCTGAGAACTGTAGTTTTGAGTGTTCATACCCATAGTTAGCAACTACATTTTATAGTATAGTTTTAATATGAACCTTAAGTTTGCAGAGTAATATTGTTTTTACCATTTATTTTATTCATAAAGCTATAAAAAGAAGTCAAAGCTCCACCTGGTTGATCTAGCTGGATCTGAGATGGTGAGAAAAACAAAGTCAGAAGGAGATAGGTTTAAGGAAGGTAAGGAATGGCGTGTGTCGATATCTTTTATACCAGAATGTCTTCCAGTGTAGACATTTGTTCCTTAGGTGTAAATATCTTGGAAAATAACTAAGTATGAAAACAAATTATGATTACTTTTACTTTAGAAATATAAACAAATTTCAAAATATAATATTGGATATACAAGACTGTGTAGTTTAAGTGTTGTTATCTAGTTTACTTAGTGGTCTAATATTTAATGGTTATTTACTTTTCATAACGAGAGTTAAAAGTAATTATTTTATAGACTATAGTTATGACAAGTTTGGTTGCGTAACTCAGTAAGAGTCGTATGTTGTGTGTGTGGTTCAATTATTGTAGTATTGTTGATGCCATGTTACTTGAACCTTCAGTATTTTTCTCATTACCTTAAGTGAGTATTGTTACATTATAGCGTTGCTCACGTAGTTTATAGAAAGTTTGAGGCCTCAGTGAACAACTTATAAGTATAGGCAACCAACTGAGTGCAAATCAATGTTCAGTCAGAAAACACAGTTAGAAAACGTGAAGTTAGCTGCCATGTGAGTGATTAGCTGTAACAGTTGACATGTTAAAGTAAATTTCACAGTTTAACAGCGATAAGGAGAATAATTTATCTTGCCAAAGGGTGTTCTAAGGTAACTGAACCCGTCTGTGTGGACTTTGAACAAAAAAGAAGACAATTATTTAAAGTTCGAGATACAACTGTGGTAACCCATGAGGTAACGTAAGTGAATTTATGTCAGATTGTAAAGTAAGAAAGTGAATAGAGAAAAGTAATTTGTCTTGTCATTTGGATTCTAAAGCAATTGAATCAGCCTGTGTGGGCTTTTGATAAGAAAAGAGAATTACTTAGATTATTAGATACAACTGTGATATCCTATAGTGTAAAGAATTTTTGTACATACCTTTGACTTGTTTTGAACATATAATTTTAAAATAAGTGGATTGTGTGCTGTCCTTTTTTTTTGTTCGAATTTATCACCAGCAAGTCATAGACACCTACTGTAGAAGAATCCAAGCCCATATACGAAATTTTAAAGTTATTTACAAAAGTTAATTTTATTTCTGATTAGCATTGCCATTAAAAGTTGTGATTGGTTGTGATGAGGTGCATTCCTATAGAGGGGTGGCCAAAAGTGACTACAATGTTAGCAATCAATGTTGCTGCTACAATTGATGCATTGAGAACAAAGCTTCTTTGTTCCCTTGTTAATCTTCAAACCATTTACTTATATTCTAAAATAAGTAAGATGCAGTGAGTGCACAACTGTATATTAAATTTGAACATCTCTTTTTTAATGATTGTAGATATTACACGATTAAAATTCTCAAAATTTTATCTTTAAAATATAAAATAGCATGAAATGTAGAAAATGTCTTTTCATAGTGAACTACAGTTTGTATTAAAATATTAATTTTGTTTTGTAACTTAGAATGGAATGTAGAAGTTTTTATGTTGAATATAATAATTTATTCAAATATCTCTCTCTCTCTCTCTCTCTTTAGGAGTGAACATAAACTTGGGCCTGCTTGCTTTGGGCAATGTCATCAACATTCTGTGCACTGAAGGAGGTCGAAAGCAGCAGAACTACATTCCTTATAGGAACTCTACTCTCACCAGGTTTTTAAAAGGTTAAAATATCTGTACTCCCAACACTTTTATTAACACTTTCATTTCTAACCTCTTTTTCAAAAGCTAGCCCCATCTGGCTAACCACTTTTTGAGAAGAGATTGCTTTCAAGCTGCACACCTTATCACTTGAAATAATAATACCTTTGGTGTTTCACAGTAATGAATATTCATGTACATATGTAGGAATGCTTTATCTGATCAGAAATTAATATAAACGTGGTATCTTTTGTAACATTCCCCTTTGTGAAGTAGGACTTCACATCTCTTACAATAAAATCTCGTTTCTGAGCATTTACCATTTTTTCTGCATGGCTTAATAGGATATTTCTTTTTATTGGTTGGTGGCATGGTCACCAAGTTATGTTCTTTGTTTGAGTCCACCAATTAGAAATGTGGCAGGAACCATCTTCGGTGTCTGAAGAACTTGCCACAGCTTGCAGTGCTTCCTCTTCACTATCAGATGAAGATGGGGAAGGGGAAGCTTCTGCCTGTCCCAATTTTGCCAGAATGCCATCCATCACCTACATTCTGAAATTCAGCAATAAGAGTTTTTCTCTGGATTTGCCTGATTGTCCAATTGATTGATTTCCATGTTTGAAGAAAGTATTTTGCCATTTGATCAAGTTTGTCAATGCTGGACGTGTGTCTGTTGTAATCAAGCACACAAGCTGGTTTTTAGTTGGGCTGATTGTCCTTGTCTTTCCTGCCAGAGTCCTCCATCCTGGAATTGTGAAGTGTGGAAATAATTTTTACTTTCTGTTTGTCTTTCCCCACTAACACTAATACATGTCCATCTCGACATAAAATCACTTACCTTTCTGTAGTCTGTCAGCTTCGTGCTACAGATCATGAAGGGTACCTTGGTTTAGTCTCTATGTACTACACACGTAGGTCTTTCATTCAGCTACCAGCAAGAATTTGGATAGGGACACACTATTATAATAATTGCTCATGTATACCTTCTAGTCAAACCCAGACAGGTATTCCAGGACACCACTACAGGTTTGCTACAGCATTTTGTCAACAACACAGTAGAGGTCATAATTGCACTATCCACTAGCAGACTCTGAAAGAATGTACCCTTTCATCCAATATTTGACAGTTTTTTGTGGATTGTAAACACGAAATATTACACAACCTTGCCATTTGAGCATTCCTTCATGTAGGGACAGTTTTTAACTTGTTTACACTGTAATCCTAAATCAACCAAATTTTATAGAGTTGATCTTGACAATTTCTAGGATGTACGTTGTTGTCATTGCAGTGGAGAAATTACAGTATAAGTAGAAATTTATCCCTTGGCATAGCCTGAGAGTAAAAAGGGTTGCTTTTTTTTATCACTACTCCAGTACATCTGAATCTCGGCCTTTTTTACAATCCCAGTGTTGAAGAGAAGGGCCAAAACAGTCAAATACTTCCACTGTCTAGCACGAGAATATCTTTTCAAATCTTGGTGTTCCTGTAAAAATTGTGCAGCATAAAGATTTGTCTCTCTTACAACATTGTCTATTAGTTAATCAGTAATAAACAGTTTGAACCATTGAAGGCAGCTCTTAGTATTATCTGGCTGTATGTTTACACCTGGAGTACCATTGAACTGATGTACATGTGGAGGTCTGTCTACATTATTCCAGTCCTTCACCTGATTTTCATTTCTCCTGCCCTGATTACCATGGGGGACAACCACGTTCACAATTAGGTGCTCATGCAGAACCAGTTGTAGTACCATTATTACTGCCAGTGTTAGGCGTTTATGCCATTCATGTCCACATCACTAAATTCATCGCTATTATTTGAGTCACTTTCATTTTCAACATCTATGTAGAGTATTCCTTGGAATTCTCTACATCTTCTGCATCTGAATTATCACTAAATCGATAGGCTTCAGAGTCCTCATCAGGGAATATTTCCTGCAAAATTTCTTCAGCACAATGATGGAAAGCTCGTTTTATGTGCACTGCCATCTTGGAAGTCTTGGAAGCAATCCAAAAATTCAAATTGTATTTTTGGTTATGTAATATCCATACAAAGTACGAAACTACCATGATGAATGAAATAAAATGGAAGCTGACTAAATTATTTTCCAAAACACCTGTTATGTGTTCATATTTCTATTGATAGGTGGCGTGCACAGTACTGTAGCATGGGTAAAAAAACCGAAGATTCTCATAGTTAGTCACTAGGATCATGCACAGAAACATGTAGATTCTCATAGATAGCAGTGGAAGTGTTAAACTGTTCAGAACAATGAATATTTACCTTTGACACAGTTATGTGTGGAAATGTGTATGTATGTGTGTATATAAAATAAATTGCAAGTTTAGATGCTGCTTAAAATACATTCCCACGAGTTTTTTTTGCTATAAGTTATTAGATTGTTTTTGTATTTGTAGAATTTAAGCAGTTTAGTTGAAAATTTAATATTCTACTAGAATAACTTTACTAAAAATGAGTTTATTAAACCTAAAATAATGAAGACAAAGCTTCACCAACATTGTATTGTAAGGCGTATTTCCTTCTCATTATATTTCTTTTTTCAGATTCTATTTGTGGAAACAGTCTAACAGTGATGATTGCTTGCATCAATCCTGCTGATTCAAACTTGGTTGAAACTGTTGATACCTTACGATATGCCAATAGAGCACGGAATATAAAGACTAAACCTGTTATCAACAGGTGTCCTATTAAAGGTCAGTGTTAACACATTATGATATGCTGAAAGAACATGGAATGTCGAGGATAAACTAGTTGTTAACAGTTTCATTGATAAAGGTTAATGTTAACACCTTATGATATGAATAAATCAGTTATAAACAGGTTTCATGTTAAAGGTTAGTGTTAATATTTTAGAATATGGCAACACAGTCCAATACTTCATCACTATTCTAATGTTCCAACATAAGAACCACTTTGTTCTTTCAAGCTAATATGTACTGAATTCATAACAAGGCACTAAGACTAACCTTTAACAAAGAACCAGTTGGTAACCAATTTCTTCTTGATTGACTGTGCCCTAAAGTCAATTGATTACTGTGTTAACGGCAAAACAAAGAAAACAGGCACAATAGTATAATTATCTTCAAAAAGAGGGACTGGAATTATATATAAGAAATCATTGGTTTCAATACTTTGTGGAACTAACAGCACAACAGAGCCCAAAGATGCAGTGTTGAAATTGAAGTAAATGCATTACAAGATGATTTCCTTAGCGATTCTCAAATTAAAAAATGTCATTTCTGCAATGAAGAATACATATAAAAATGGTATAATGCCCAGTATGGTACCACTACAGCATCATTTATATAGATTTCATCACATCATATTTTCATTACTATTTAGTAATTTTTTTCCTCTTACACGTTGTGCTGAGTTTCATTTATTGAGATCTATCAAAGTAATCCTAAAACACCAGTTTCTGGAATGACTCTCCATTGACAATACTAGGCAGGTGTTAATAGTAATGTAACAAAAATGTATTATTTCATAACTCATGACAGAAAACATTAATTTGCTCCAGAAATATGGTTTGTACTGAAAAACAAAGATTTCCTAAATATCTCTATTTTAATGAGAACACATCTTACAGGAGTAAATTCCTCTTTATGATATGTACCAATAAACACACACACACAATGAAAGCCAACATAGAGAAATTAACTTGTAAATGTAAAGTAAAATGATGTAGCAATGAAATACACTTGAAATGATCTAGACGTGGCTGTGAATGTGATGGTTTAAGTGTAGTGATTAAGCTAAACCATGGTTCCAGGACACATGAGGAAAGAAGTTAATCGAAGATATCCCAATCAATTTGACATACCAGCTGAATTGGAGATTGTTAAGACTACACATATAATATTTCAATCACAAACCAAGAGTCAGCAGTAATATTCCCTCTAAATGTCCATTATACCAACAGAACTACAAACTCCACTGACCACTAATTTTTTTCCTTACATTTCAGAAGTCTTCTTAGACTAAAATAACTCACTGTTGTGTTATTAATATTGTAAAAGTGCATTGAAAAAAAAGGCATATTTCAGTCTATATACTTTAACACTCTAAAATCCCAAAAGACAGCAATACCAGTGTTGTATCACTTGAAAGGAAATGGTGAGTGGCATGACTTGCAACATGTAGGCAATTTAGAGGGTACTTGGGAAAGCATTAACAATTTGTATGAACTTCAGCAATTGTGAATTCTCATTTCAGGGAAGGATAAAACAATGATTATCACACAAGTTGAAAAATTTCTTTATTGACTCTAATGCAGCTTCAGGGATTTTCAAAAGCTATGGTTTGAAATTCTATACTCTAGGCTAGGAACTAGCTTCATTAGTTTGATTATTACAATATTTTGTTACATGTCATAAAATTATTTGAGCTGGAAATTGTGCAGATGCAAAAATAAAAATATGAAACATCTAACTAGTAAAATAAATTATATTTCTATCTTACAAATAAACATCTTTTATTTTTTACTAGAATGCACAGAACTTTTTATGTAAAATAATAATAACAATAAAAACAGTGGAGGAAATCTTGTGAGTTTTAACCCCTGCCACACAAGTCCACTCAGCATCTTGATTTGGATCCAAAAATATGAGTCATTCTGAAAAGGTTTTTGGTTGTTTCGATTAGACAAGAAAATGTTTAGCCCTATTTTCGAGTTCTGGGTCACTGGACCAGATCCATGATCTGACCTGTGATCCATAGCTGATTTTCTGTGACCTTTTACATGCTATTTATTTATTTATAGATAATCCGTTAAAGAGAAAACTGGAAATGGTTCCTCCTACCCCTGCGATTTGGAGACGAGGACCAGGCTTTAACAACACAGTTAATACTCCCATCACTCGCCCAGCTGCTTCAAAGCAACCTTGCTTAAATTCTACAGTTGGAACTCCTTATCAGACCACTTCTATCAACCAAGAGCAGAAAACACCAATTCACATTATTCCCTCACCTCCCTCCTCCTTCTGTACCCCTTCTGTGGAGACTGTTAATAAGCATGAAAGCACCCATCTGGAAGAGAGCCAGTCACATTCAATACAGGTTTCTCCAGAGCTAAGTTTCAGTACAGCATCTCAAATGAAGGTTATAGAGACTCCCTACCAGTTTAGGTATCAGACTTTTTATGTTAGCAAAATAATGCATATATTGTATATAGTCTTTAACTCTCAACATGGGCTCGGTCGATTTGACCAACAATGTGACCTCTTTGTACTCATTTAAAGTTTTTATAGTTACAACTATAGTTTATAGTTTTATAGATACAACTAACTTTTAATATAGTACATATATCTTCTCCAAATTTGGCACACTTTCAGTTAACATTACAAGTCTTTCACATACAAATAAATACTATTTTTCAGTGAAGTATTTTTAATAAACTAAAAAAAGATTTGTCCCTGAATATATCAATTTTTTTTTTAAACCAGTCCAGGTGCAAAGTGATTTTCATGTTAAGAATATAAATACTTTTCATCTCAAAATTCTCAGATTTTACTTGTTTAAATCTCTAAAACCTCCTAAATACACTTCAAATGTATGTTTTCAGTAAAACTTTATATTTTATCTGATATTTTCTCTTCCTTAATGCTATACAAGGTTGGTCAATTTGATAAACCTTGTAACCGCTCCTCCAAAAAAAAATAGAAATTTATCTAAATTACCCATTTTTTCTTTCTAGAATGACTTCAGATTCTAACATGAAAGGACATTCATTTATCCTAAGTGTCTTTAAACTCATAACACTATACATCTATTTATACTAAAATTTTATTGTTTTATTGCCCTTTGAACTGTGTCTAACTATTATTCGTGCCATTATAAGTTGTAAATCACTTGAGGAATGTGGAGCTCATGTTACGCTACTGAATTACATTACCCACAAGCTACTTGCATGCATGCCTCATGAAACATTTTTATTATTTCATTATTATTATTTATTTAACCTAATCTAACCTTAAGAGATTTCTATTTCTACATTTTAGTTACTTTTTTCATAATAAATAAATACATGAAAAACAAGAAATAATGTACTTACTCGGGTTCTTTTTTTTTTTTTTTGCTGTTGACTATTGCTGTTGACTGTTAAATAATGCACCAAAAACAGAGAATAATAACATGCAAAATGTAAACAATTTCCCCTAAGTATCACAATTTATCTGGCTTTCTAACTAGGTGACAAGAACCATTACAAAATCATCCAAGCTAGTCATTATCTCTCCCGTGAGAAATAAGCTTGTACAAACAGTGAAATTAAGAATTCTCCATTCAGAAAACAATGCTATATAACATGTAATTTGATAGATGTAAACCTTGGCTTTCTATTGGTTATACATGATATAGAATTAAATGTAAGAGAGAACTATTAACAAATCCTGAAAGATAGGATTTGACAGATGGGTGTGGCAAGCAGGGTCTGATTGTCTATTTGAGAGCACTGCAACCAAACAAAATTGAAGGCTATAAAAATTATGGTTATCTGAGCAATGACAATTTTATAGTGAGTAATTTAAATTGAATTTCATACTTATTGGAGGGGTGGTGGATAAAATACAGAAGAGGAAATGCCTAGAAAAAATGTCACATTTTTCACACTGGGGGAAATTCAGGATTTTGTAAAATATTCCTTATAAAATTAAGAACTTAAAACTTATATACTATTAAAATATGGATTATTAGCTATGATTTTATGCTATAGTAATTGATATAACATAAACAAAAAGTAGTTCAATAAAATATTGAATGTAAG